TACGTACCTAGAGAGGCTTAGCTTGGAACCACCGACTTCAAACTTACCTTTATTCAAACCTTGAGATAAGAATATTGAGATAATTTTAAGATAATTTGCTTCTCCAAAGCAATACCCCACAAACGTATGGATCCTGATCACAGAGATTTGTCTTGGGTACCACACCAATGGAAAGGAGAGCTTGCCATTTCAAAGCACGCTTGTGATTACCCTGTGCGTTGAAACATTCCAGCAGTATGACTTAAGACTGATCAGGGTTGCTCTGCTGTTGCTATGATTAAACCGATCTGTAGCTCAGGGTTGAACTGTGGAGTCCTTGGTGCTCTCTGAGCTTGGTTGTCTGCTTGCTGATGTTTCATTACCCATCTAGGTAACATCATCAGTGCACTGATGTTGTTGCCTAGTTGGGTAATGAAACGCCTATTATTAAACCACTAAGAGTTGGAGATCTTTTTGTTGATCAACTGCAAATGGGTCAGCAGATCCATTATTGTAAAGGTTGGTCCCCATACTGATAGAGATTCAAGAGACCGTGATGTAATTCAGCATTCATAATAATAAATAGGGCTACTCAGCATTAAAACAAGTGAAGCAGCATAAGAGCATTTGCAAAAACTAAATGTAAACCACCAGCTCCAAGCTTCTCCATTATCCATGGAAAGAGTTGCTTCCTTGCTGGATTATAGGAGAGCTTTTAGGAAGAAATTCAAAACCTCTGCTTCAGCATATCTGGGGATGTATTGGTATTGAATGAGAAATAATTTGGTGCTGGAATTTTTGTTTCTTCTCCATAAATCTTACTAAAGAGAACTCTGTGAAAATCGTGCTTGGAAATAACTGCTTTTGTCTTTAGATAGTTGCCAACAACCTTGGCAATTTTGCTAAAGCAGGAAAGGCACAGAACCAGATAAAGTCTTTTTGAAGGAGGTTTAGAGATAAAATTTAACTGGTGCCAAACATAAAGCCTATTTTGCTATACAGCATTAGGAGAAGCGCTAGATGGATATGATCTGGAGGGAAGACAGTAGGAGAGGATACTTTCCATGCACACTTGTTCTAAATCAATTTTGTGACCCCAGTCAGTTCAATACATAACTTTGAACCACAACCATACTGCAGTGAGGAAGTGGAAAAGCTGAAATAGCTCTGAAATCTCCCAATTTTTGCCCTTTATTTATTTATTGCCCAATATTTTTTGCTAGTCTTTACATTGGCACATGTATCTATGTGGTCGCTAGGAGTCAAAGCCGACTTGATGGCACATTATCAATCGATGAATCAATGACATTTGCAAAGGCATCTGTGAAGTCTAAAGGACAACCAAGACTTTCCAGATGCAACTTGAATCCTCATCATTGATCAGGCCATGTAGGCTAGATTGTGACAAGTTAGAGTTCAGGTCAGGTAGAGCAGTGTTTCTCAGCCTTGGCAGCTTTAAGTTGTGTGGATTTCCCCAGCCAACCTAGATGATCCTTTATAGCCCCTTCCAACTCCACAATTCTATGGCTCTGCGACACTGACTTCATTCATACCTGTACACTGAGAGTAGGATTAAGGGACAATCTTTGCTGGAGGCCACTCTGTCTCCTTTCTGCAACACCAGTGATAATTCAGTCTTCTAACTGAGCAAAATAGTTTAATGTCTTCACAGAAAATATAATGAACTAAGAACAGCTGAACAGAAACAGGTCCTCTTGTCTTGCTTTCAAAGGTTTCTTTCCCAACCCTCAAATGGAGAACAGGCCCATCTGAGCAGCTCCATGTATTTTCAGACCATCTTCTTGAAATTCTCAATAGCTTCCTCTGACTTCTGCAGTTCTGTCTCACTTTGCTTCAGCTGGAAAAAAAATGCACAAGACAGATTTGCTGGGGAAGCATCTGTATCAGACCTCCCATTCCTGTTCTGAAGTGTCTTTCTGCAATTCCCTCAAGAAGTATGCAGACCAAGAATGGGCAACCTATGGCCCTCAAACCAACAGCTGCCATGTTTCCTGCCTTTTTTAGGTGAAAAACATGTGAACAGGGTAAATGCCTAAAATAAGTGTCTCAGGTTAAAAGGAAAGTAAAACTCGGAAGCCTTCTAAACCCCTTCCCACCACATTTTAGGAAAGTGAGCACCACAATGTTAAAAGTGATCATTGGTCACCAAATTGTCCATCCCCAACATAGGATCTTTCGAAGGAACCAGCAACCTTTTCTGGTCCTGAGTCTGGGGTCCCCAACTGGCTAAAACCTCTCAATATCTTATGATCATGGTGATTTCAGAAATTGAAAACAGAAACAAAAATGGGAAGTTTTGAGAAATTTGGTGGATATCTTGGCACCCACAGCTGATGCACTGGGTTGAGCATCATCCCTAACTTGACTTATGGCAGAGCAGGGCCCCAAATGCCAATCCTGTACGAGTTACCTTGGCTGCATCCAACTCCTGGACTTTGGTTGGTACCTTAGCAGCATAATCTGGACTGTCCATACGCTCACGCAACAACAGGATTTGTTTCTGCAGCTCAGCTTTTTTCCCTGCCAGTTTGGTTATCTCCTTCTCAGCATCAATCAAGCCCTGCCAGGGGAATTCAGAGAGACAGACAATGCACTATGAGTTGAGTGTTACTGGACTCCCAGCAAGATGTATCCCACTTCAACCTGAAAGTTAATTCAGATTGCAGTGGGATATAAATGCAATCAATCAATCATATTGTCAATGTGCAAATTCCTCAGTGCTACCACCATTTCTGCAAAAGCCTTCGAAAGCAATAAGGAAACCTTTTTCGGGATGTTTTGGAAGAGTTGTGGACAAGATACCGTGCTGGTAAGTCAGTTTAAACTCACATATTTCCTTGGCTTAGTTTATTCTTCTTAAAAACTGAGAGAGGTTATACAGAATCAGAAGATGGTGAGGAATGGAAACTACTGCAGAGGACAAAGAAAGAGTCTGACACGGATTGCAGGACCTCAGATGACACTGAAGATGTGCTGCCTTTGTTCCCTGAGTGAGACAGCATGAGATGAATTGCTGTCCCTTGGAATTGATGGGAGTTGCTAGGCGTTCCAGTGCTGGTCTTCTGAAGATGAAGACAACATGTTTAAATCCCTTGGGATTGAAGCTCCATTCACTGGGGTTCAGGGTTTTGCAGCTGAGCCAGCCTACTGTCATGTTTTGGATACCCTTGATGTGTCCTACCATAAGAGGCTTTACATTTTCCTCAGTTCAATGTAAGAATTTGTCATCAGGTCATGTTGTCTGTTAGGAAAAAGACACGCTGGACTTTCAGGAGAGCCTGGACCTTGCCCAGACCTATTCATGCTGCATGTAGCTCCAGGAAGTTGATGGTATCTTGGGTTATCTCTTCTATCCAGATTCCGTGGGTGGGGATCAATTCAGCCTGGATCCCAGCCCTTGGGTAGGGCTTCTGAGAACCACCATTTGAGGGAGCTCCTCACCATCATGGGAATTGCCAGACCTCTCTGGAATCTTAGGGCTATGGAATTCTGGAAGGGGAGGACCAACCTTGGAAGGATGGGAGTGGAATCTCACCATAGTACTGCCTATGGAGGTAATCATCTGGTCTTGGAGGCTGATGAGAGTGTCATGAGATCTGTAGCTACTCTGAGGGGCTGACATTACCAGCTGGATGGTCTCCTCTTTGGTGTGGGGACCAGTTCTTTTTCAGTGATCAGAATTGTGGCCAGGTGCTGCAGGTTCTGTACTGGTTCAAGGATGCTCTGATCTTTCTTGATTCAGAACCCAGGCCCTTCTGAAGGTCTACACTGTGACCCAGATTTTCTTCTTTTCCTTTTTTTTTTTTTTGGTATAATTTAATTAAAGATTTTTTAAAAAGAAGATACCAACTAATATAAAGTGAGAAAAAGAAAAGAAAAAGAAAAATCAAAGAGAAAGCTAAAAGTGCAAGGAAGGAAAAAAAGTAAAGGAAAAATAGACAAGAAAGAAAAAAGATAGAAGTAGTTTCCAATCTTCTTTACGGCAGTTATAAGTACAATTATAAATTTACCTCTTGCTCGATGGTTACAAAATAACTCTCTTTTTTCTATAATCTAGTCTGTCTAATCATCAAAACCATAAATCATACGTTCATTTTTTTCTGTTTCATGCAAAAAGTCTATAAGG